CACCCTTTAGGGGTATTCATGATCATCAAATTATGCTAAAGGAGGGTTCTAATCCGGTTAGTTTAAGACCTTATAGATACTCCCCAGCTCAAAAGGATGTCATTGATGGCATGGTTAGAGAGCTCTTGGATTCGGGAGTAATTCAACCAAGCTCTTCCCCTTTTGCTTCTCCAGTTGTGTTGGTCAAAAAGAAAGATGGGAGTTGGCGAATGTGTGTAGATTATAGGCGGTTGAACGAAATGACGGTGAAGGCTAAATTCCCAATTCCTTTGGTGGAGGACTTATTGGATGAATTAGGTGGGGCAATGGTGTTTTCTAAACTGGATCTTAGGGCGGGATATCATCAAATAAGGATGAAAACGGAGGACGTACCAAAGACAGCGTTTCAAACTCATGGGGGGCAGTATGAATATGTGGTGATGCCTTTCGGCTTGTCCAATGCACCAGCTACTTTTCAAGGAACAATGAACACTATTTTTTCTGGTTTATTGAGAAAATGTGTTCTTATTTTCTTTGATGACATACTAGTGTATAGCCCATCTCTGGAGGCACACGTGGATCATCTGCGACAAGTGTTTCAAATCCTCAAAGCTCACACCTTCTATGTTAAGAGAAGTAAATGTGCATTTTTCACAACACGGATCGAATACTTGGGTCATTTCATTACACCTACGGGAGTTACTACTGACCCAATTAAAGTTCAAGCTGTGACAGATTGGCCGGTGCCTCAAACTGTTAAGCAATTGAGGGGATTTTTAGGATTGACGGGTTACTACAGGCGGTTCATTAAAGGTTACAGCATCATTGCTTCTCCTCTTACTGATTTACTCAAGCGAGATTCTTTCCATTGGACACAAGAGACGCACGCTGCCTTCACTGCATTGAAAGATGCTTTGAGTAATTCTCCGGTGTTGGCCATCCCTAATATGCAAAAGCCATTTGTCGTTGAAACAGATGCTTCGGGCACGGGAATTGGGGCTGTGCTAATGCAGGACAGGCACCCTGTGGCTTTTATTAGCAAGGTTTTGTCTCCTAAAAACAGGTTGCTGTCAGTTTATGACAGAGAATTATTAGCATTGGTTCATGCAGTCTCTAAATGGCACCAATATCTTTCTTTGAACACATTTACAATTCTTACTGACCAACATAGTTTGAAGTACCTATTGGAGCAACGCCTATCGACTCCAGCCCAATATAGATGGGTCACTAAGCTCATGGGCCTTTCTTATGAAATTTTGTATAAGAAGGGTAAGGATAATGTGGCTGCAGATGCCTTGTCGAGAGCCTCGCACGGTGAAGTTTTACAATTGACCGTCTCTTCTATTTCTTCTGAGTTATGGGACTCTCTCCTTAAAAGCTATGAACAAGATTCAGCTTTGCATGACCTCAAGCTGCAGGTTCTCGCTAACCCAACCTTGCATCCCCATTTCTCTGTTTTGGACAATTTACTGTATAGGAAACAGAAGCTGGTCATTCCTAATGACGGGCAAGTGCGATTGGTGATTCTACAATGGCTTCATTCTTCACATCAAGGAGGCCATTCAGGCATCAGGGCTTCTATAGCAAGGATCAAGAGCATATTTTATTGGAAGGGCCTTGCCAAAGATGTCACAAAGTTCATTCAACAATGTGAGACTTGCCTTAGATGCAAGTATGAACCTAGAGCTGTTGCTGGTTTACTTCAGCCCCTGCCAGTTCCAGAAGGAGTGTGGCAAAGTATAGCCATGGACTTCATTGAAAAGCTTCCTAAATCCCATGGTAAAGACACGATTTGGGTAGTTATTGATCGGCTGAGCAAATATGCCCATTTTATTCCTCTTGCTCACCCTTTTACGGCATCAAAATTGGCTGAAGTTTTCATTTCTGAAATTTACAAGTTACATGGTGCACCTGCCAACATTGTGAGTGACCGAGATCCCTTGTTTACAAGTAAATTTTGGGGTTCCTTCCTTGGTCAATTGGGCATTTCTCAGAGCTTAACAACAGCCTACCACCCTCAATCGGATGGTCAAAGTGAAGTCTTGAACCGTTGCTTAGAACATTACTTGAGGGCGATGACATGGCAGCGGCCTAAGGAATGGGTCAATTGGTTGCCTTTGGCTGAGTGGTGGTACAATACCACTTCTCATTCTGCTATTCAAGCTACCCCTTATGAGATTGTGTATGGTCAAACACCCCCTCTACATCTTCCTTATTGCCCTCAAAGTACCAAGGTGGAGGCGGTAGATCGAAGCTTCATTGTAAGGGAGGAAATGATCCAGAAATTACAAGGTAACTTGGTTCGGGCTCAAGCGCGCATGAAGCGGCAGGCTGATAAACATCGCAGTGATCGGGAATTCAAGGAAGGAGATTGGGTTTTCCTAAAGTTACAGCCCTATAGACAAGCTTCTACTCAATATCGTGCTTCCGAAAAGCTTTCTCCTCGGTTTTATGGTCCTTATCAGGTGCTACATAGAGTGGGAAAAGTTGCATACACCTTGATTCTACCAGCTAGTTCGCGGATTCATCCTACGTTCCATGTATCACTCTTGAAACCGTGTCCCGATGCGAACGTTCCCATGGTTGCACTTCCTGAAGAGTGGGGCAGTTTGGATGATCCTAAGGAGCCATTTAAGATTTTGAAGAGGCGCTCAATTCAGAGGCATAATAGAGCAGTTACTGAGGTTTTGGTTCAGTGGAAAGGGGAGGCTATGGAAGAGGCTACTTGGGAGTTGCTATACAAAATCAAGCTACAGTTTCCTTATTTTGATGTTACAGCTTTTCCTTGAGGACAAGGAAGATTTCAAGGGGCGGGATATGATGCATGTATTAGTGTATACAGCTGTTAGTAGTTGTATTGGGTTGTTATAACTGCTTAGACAGTTATATATAGTTAGAAAATAACCATCCAATGTATGCTTTTGTTGAATAAATAAAAATACTCTTTCCTCATCTCTACTTTCTATTCTCTCTCTCTCTCTATATTCTCCCTCTCTCCCCTATCATCTGGATATTAAGTGAGTATCATAGTATCTCCAGTAAGATTAATCTCTATATTATTAGGTTTCTATGATGATTTGTTTTCTGATTTCCCTACTTATTTAGGATTAGGAGTCTTGTATCCCTATAAATAGGGGTTAGTGCTAGTCTTTTGTATCAAATCCTTATCAAACATTTTCACCATAGTTATATTTCTTATTAGTATTCTCCTCGTATCTAAAAGTCATAACTTCAACATGGCATCGGAGCCTATCATAGATCTGTAGTGCCACCCGCCACCTATGGCAAGCTCTAGATGGTCATGAGCGTGACAGGGTGTTGAGAATACCACATTGTATGTAATATGGCCTAAAAGATGTTTATAATGGAGAGATATCTCCGGCTTTACAAGACAATTTTATTTTATAGAGTTGAGTTAGACCCAATCCAAATTCTTAAAATTAGAGCTTGTATCTCAAAATGTCAAACAATATTCAGATCTTTATATTTTCACTTGGTATCAAACTTCTTGATCTTGGGGGGCTCTGCTTCCACATCAAAAAATGTTGTCGCCTTCCATGCAAATATCTTAACTGCCTTCATTGTAGTCGTCCTAAACAACTTTCAGTCTTCACTGCTCCCTTGTGTCTTCATTGCTCCCTTGTACCTTCATTGTGCCCAAAACCAATTTTGTCTATCTCTACCAAGCAACCATGCCGTCTTTTGCCGGAAATATTTTCCGACCAATTTTTCCAAAAAAAACATGCTCAATTGAAGCATCATCCATCGATCTTCCAAAGCTCAAAACCTTGTGCCCATCTACATAGGCGTATGCTTTCACGCATCAATACAAATGTCGTTTTTTTGTGTGTGAAAGTCATGAACACGCTCTCTCGTGCTCTGTTCTCAACATCACTTGGACAAACTTGATTGCGGGCCTTTTCTAGTCTTATTTCAGGGGTTGTTCTCAACACCACTTGGATAAACTTGATTGCGGGCCTTTTCTAGTCTTATTTCAGGGGTTGCCTTGCCCTAATATTGACTGCTTTTATGGTTGTTTGTAAGCCCTATTTATGTCATTTTCAGCAAGACGTTGTGGCGGGCTTGTTGGAACTTGAAATGTGAAATAATCTTTTTTCACTCGCATTGTGCTTTTCACATGCTAGTTACATTACATGTAATGTGTACTTAAGGGCTAGATAGACAGATGCTTTCATATCTTCCTTCTTTACTGGACCAAAAGATGGATAGATCTAATACGTTAATTGTTTTGATCACCGGTAGCGAAACCAAGAAAGAAAGGATTCCCAAGTGGTGCCTCTTTCCTTTCTATTTTTTTATATTTCTTCGCCAATACCTTTTTTATAGCTTTCCTTTAGCTGCTACATTTTTTCCCCAGTCCACGCCCAATCAAAGTAGTACGTGTGCCTGCTCCGTCCTTCTTTGACGAAATGGAGTAGAGTGGATTATGTTATTTACAACACATGGAGGCTGAGGGTAGTACTAGCAAGAAGGTATTAACTTTCTGAACACGCCAGAGAGATGACACAACATAGAATAAATTCTGGAAACACCTACACTAAAGGGTATTCTAAACATGCTAGAAGGATGGCACGATGAAGGAGAAACTAAAAAACCTGTAGAATTTGTGTATGGTTGACAAGATGGTGTGAAATCTTTCATACTTTGGGGAACTTAGCAACAGAATAACATATGACAAGTTACGGATGATGGTACCACTCGGATACCAAGTTGAAGTTATGAGGTTTCCGATATAGAGAGAGAAAGAATAAAGACAAATATGATTATGATTAATAATTTGATGATACAAATAGATTAAGCATTGACCCTAATACAAATCTCCAAATCCTAATTAAATAGAGAAACAAAATGTTATACTAACTAATTACTATGGAAGCTAATATTAAGAGATACTAAGATAAGACATTAATCTCAGGAGATAATTCAAGATATTAGAAGATCTTTTTCATATATTCTAACAAAGAATTCCAAATCAAAATGAATTAGGTATGCTCAATGCCTTAGAGAAAGTGAAAAAGGAGAAAGAAAACCTTTTCAATAAGGTCCAAAACATCTTGGTTGTCCTCAAATTCAATGTAGCTCCAATCGATCTGCTCCTTTGTGTATTCTTCTTGTTCCATTTTGAACATGTGCTGAAATTCGTCATCAAAACCATATTAAATAGGGAAATACAAAAAGGAACTTGAAGTGCATAATTTAGTCCGAAACATTACCTGATTGAAGTGTTGCTGCAACTTTTCATTTGGGAAATTAATGAAGAACTGCTCAAAACTGCAGAGCATGACAAACTGAAAATAAGTTACAACAATGAAATTTGAAAACAAGCATATATGGATTATCTTCAGTATTGCAATCTTGTGAATGTACTTTACAGATAGGTATATTTAAACTTCTAAAATACAATAGTACCTGTTCAATTTAAAGCTTTCAAAACCATAGATATCAAGGACCCCGATCAAACATTTAGAATTGGGATCTTGTCCAATTGAATTATTGATCTTGTCCACCAGCCTACAGCGCACACAAATGCAGCATGAATCAAATCAGAACCATGTATCCTTATCTTCAGCACTTTTTGTACTAATTAGATAATATAGAGGTTTTAAGAAATGGGTCAGTTCCCTTTTCCAGTATCCTACCAATCAAATAACCGAGAATAAATTGTTTTTGCCAGTCCATCTCTACTGACTGTAGCACTTCCCGGATCAAGGCTCCGCGTTATAACTTCTTCAGGAGTGATCATGACACGCTTACATAATGCATCTTCCAAGGCATCAGCATCACACCTGACTCAATGTTGGCAATCATATTGAAAGGCAGTTGAATATCATATGGACAGAAGTAATAATACGAAAGCATCCATACATCAGAAGTTCAGCGGCTGTTTTCAAGTGGAATTTGGCTTTGTCGTCTTTTGGAATTGATGAGTCAATTTCCTTTCCTTTGGCAAAGTCAATATTACCCAGATGAAGAATTGCAGCAACAACTCTGAAAATGGCTTCCTGAAAAAAGACGGCATAGGAAAGCAGAAAAGTAAAAAGCAATCGTTCTCTATTCTCGCAAGAACAAAGTATTAGAGTATCTATAGTTTAGCATATAGAAGCTAAGGCAAAGAAGAGATAATGTAAGCAGCTAAACTGATAAGTTTAGACTGCATAGCTATTCTATATAAACTCTGTCATAAACAGAGATGTAACTAACTTTCAGAAATAAGAAAATCAGTTGCAACAAACTCTTTCTCTTCTCTACTCTCTCTCTCTCTTTCCCTATGCTACTTTTCAATTATGGTATCTAGAGCTTATTGATCCGTTCTCATGGCTTCCGATGGCGATAGCTCCGACAACACCGTCCAAAGTACGGTGCGCGACGGCGTCTCTTCCATGTTCAACCTGAAGAACGTCTTCAAAACGTTCACGCAGCAGGTGACGTTGAAGCTTGACGAAAACAACTTCCGATCTTGGAAATAACAAATCGAAGGCATCATTCGCACTCATCGCCTTCATCGCCTCCTCGTGAATCCGATTATTCCACCGCGTTATCTCTCCGATGAAGATCGCGCCGCCGATAAGGAGAATCCTGCGTTCCTCACCTGGGAGAAGCAAGATTCGCTGCTGTTCATGTGGCTTCTCACCACGTTATCCGACGGTGTTCTTCCTCGTGTTATCAGGTGCGTTCATTCTCACCAGATCTGGGATGAGATTCATCAATACATCTTTGCGCAGACCAATGTGAAATCGAGGCAACTTCGCTCGGAATTAAAATCCATAACCAAAGGGGAAAAATCCATCACTGCTTATCTTGCTCGTATTCAAAGGATCGTTGATATCCTTGAATCAATCGATGATCCAATTTCGCACCGTGATCAACTTGAAGCAATTCTTGATGGATTGCCAGAGGAATACAATGCGCTAGCGTCAATTATTCAGCACCGTGCAATTCTGTGCCCTATAATTGAAGCTGAGTCAATGCCTCTTGCTCATGAGGCAAAACTGGAGAAATCAAAGAAAGCTACTGACAGAGATAATGTTTCTTATTATTGATTAGAGCAGCCTGTGCTCTTAAATAGAATACAATATATTTAGGAAATGAAATTCTTAATAAATACTTATCATTGCCCTCAATCAATTCTATAAGTAAGGACCAATAATTTCTATAAATACATACACAGCTAATCAAATCCTATTTATGGGATTTTAATCCTATTTAACTATAAAATATACCACTAATTAACACATGTACAGCTCGTTCTGACACTCCCCCTCAAGTTGGAGAGTGGATGTTACTCATTCCCAACTTGCCGATAATAGATTGCAATGTAGAACCACTTAATCCTTTTGTAAGAACATCTGTCAGCTGATTTCCAGTTGATACAAATGGTATACATATTGTCCCACTATCCAATTTTTCCTTGATGAAATGTCTGTCTACTTCGACATGCTTCGTTCTATCATGTTGCACTGGATTATGTGCAATGTTTATTGCTGACTTGTTGTCACAATATAGTTTCATGGGTCCATTCCATTCAATCTTTAGGTCTTGTAGAATTATTTTCAGCCATAGGAGTTCACAAATACCTAAAGCCATAGCCCGAAATTCTGCTTCTGCACTTGACCTCGCAACAACGTTTTGTTTTTTGCTCCTCCAAGTCACCAAGTTTCCTCCAAGAAAAGTACAATATCCGGATGTGGATCTTCTGTCATCTACTGATCCAGCATAATCAGCATCTGTATAGGCTTCCAAAGTAATTCCTTGACCCTTTGTAAATAGAATTCCTTTTCCAGGAGTGCCCTTCAAGTATTGCAAAATTCGGTAAACAGCTCTAAGATGATTTTCTTTGGGATTATGCATGAATTGACTCACCACTCCCACTGCATAAGCTATGTCTGGCCTAGTGTGAGATAAATAGATTAACTTTCCAACCAACTTTTGATAGGATTCTCTGTCCACAGTTGCATCTTCAACAAATTCACTAAGTCTGTGATTTTGTTCAATTGGAGTTTCTACTGGTTTGCATCCCAATTTACCAGTTTCAGATAATAAATCCAGCACATACTTCTGTTGAGAGATGAAAATACCGTGACGAGAGTGTGCCACTTCAAGGCCCAAAAAATATTTTAATCTGCCCAACTCTTTTACTTCAAACTCTTTTAGCAAACACACTTTTAGGCTATCCATTTCTGCTTGATGATTTCCTGTTACAATTATATCATCCACATAAACAATTAGTGCAGTAACTCCCCCTAAGGCTGAATGCTTAGTAAACAAAGTGTGATCTCCCTGACTTTGTTTATATCCCATATCTTTCATCACAGTGGTAAACCTACCAAACCAGGCCCTAGGGGACTGTTTCAGTCCATAAAGGGCCTTCCTTAGCTTACAAACTTTGTCTTTCTCAAAGTTAAACCCAGGTGGGACCTCCATGTAAATTTCCTCTTCAAGGTTGCCATGTAGGAAAGCATTCTTGACATCGAATTGCTGCAAATTCCATCCATAGTTAGCTGCTAGAGATAACAAAATTCTGACAGTGCTCATTTTTGCGACAGGAGAGAAAGTCTCATGATAGTCAATCCCATATGTTTGTGTGTACCCCTTAGCTACTAGTCTTGCTTTATACCTTTCTAGTGTTCCATCGGACTTGTATTTAAGGGTGAATACCCATTTACAGCCAACAAGTTTTTTGTCATTAGGAAGCTCTACTAACTTCCAAGTTCCATTTTTCTCAAGTGCATCCATTTCAACTTTCATAGCTTCTCTCCACTCTTTGCTATCTAGTGCTTCGGTAACATTTTTTGGGATAGCGGTAGTGTTTAAATGAGCAAGAAAACTTCTATGATTGTTGGACAAATTATCATAGGATATAAAGTGAGACATTGGATACCTTGGCCTTTTTGTACATGCTCTAACATCCTTCCTTATTGCAATTGGAAGATCTCTAGCATCCATGGATATATTCTGCTCCTCTAAATCAGTCCCATCAACTTCAGTTTCAGGGGGCACAATTTGCTCCTCTAAAACAGTCTCATTGATTACAGTTTCAAGAATTGGGTCAGATTCTGGGACTTGCACAGGTTGGATAATAGGTGCTGCCCTTCTTGTGTAAACTTGTAGTGGACGAGTAGCATTAGAAGTCTGTAATGAAGTGGTTATAGGACTTGACTCGGGAGTCTTGGGCATAAAAGAAAGGTCTTTGAACAAATCATCCTTATCTTCGATGCATTCCTTCTCCCCCTGAAGATAAGGTTTGGAAAAAAAGGATTCGGTTTCGACAAAAGTGACATCAATAGACACAAAATTCTTTTTTGTTGTAGGTTGATAACACTTGTAACCTTTTTGGGTAGGCGAGTAACCAAGAAATATGCATTTAATAGCTCGGGGATCAAGTTTTCCTCGATGTGGAGAATGAACATGGACAAATGACACACACCCAAAGATCCTAGGAACTAGGTGGTTTGAAGTTTTGAAATTTGGGTAGAATTTGGAGAGGAGCTGAATGGGGTTGTTATTCTGAAGAATTTGAGAGGGTAAGCGATTAATCAAGTAGGCTGCAGTAAGAGCAGCCTCCCCCCAATATTGTTTTGGAACATTTGTGTGGAATAAAGATGCTCGGGTAACATTGAGAATATGCCCAATTTTTCTTTCAGCCACCCCATTTTGTTGTGGGGTGTGGACACATGATGATTCATGAATAATATCATGTTCAGTGAAAAAGGAAGACAATGTTTGATTAAAATAATCTTTGGCATTGTCAGAACGAAACCGTTTAATGGTAGTCTCAAATTGGGTTTTTATCATTTGGAAAAACAATTTAAATATTTGAGTGACTTCACTTTTTTGTTTTAAGAGATACATCCATGACACTCTAGTACAATCATCAATAAAAATGACAAACCAACGGGCCCCCGATATATTTGGGATATTGGATGGCCCCCAAACATCACTATGGATTAAGGAAAAAGGAGTAGACATTCTTTTATTATTATTAGGAAAGCTGACACGTTTGTGTTTAGCAAGTTCACAATCATCACAGTGAAAATTTTCTAAGTTTATACCTTGAAACAAGGTGGGAAACATATTTTTGAGAGTGCTAAATGAAGGATGACCCAACCGGAAGTGACGCAACCAGATTTCTTTATTGAGGGAAGGAATAGATTCTGACAACAAAGACAGTGGAAGTTGACTCTTAATGCTACTTGTCTCACGCGCTTCCATAAGAAGGTAGAGCCCATTGTCCTCTCTAGCAAGTCCAATCATCTTCCCCGTTTCCTGATCCTGAAATTTGCAAAGTGTAGGAGTGAATGTTACCAAGCATTGTAAATCTGTTGTAAGTTTGTGAATAGATAACAGTTTGGCAGATAATTTGGGCACATGCAAGACATCTCTCAACATTAAATTTTGACTTAGTGGAATATCTCCCTTTCCTGCAACAGTAATAAAAGTGCCATCTGCAGTGACAATCTTTTTATTACTTGGACACGGTGTGTAAGAGATAAACTCTATAGAGGAATGGGTCATGTGATTCGTAGCCCCAGAATCAACAATCCATGTCCCTTTTTCTGTAGATTGTAAAACACTAAGAGCATAGGGATGAGAACTACCTGATAATGCCATGGAAGAACTACCTGTGTTTGTGGGTTTGACTAAAGAGTCTAGTAGTTCCCTTAGTCTTGTAATTTCTTCTGAATTGAAATCAGCAGTAGGTTTGGAATGACTTTCCTTGACAACACTTGATTGGACCAAGTGGGCATGTGCTGGTCCTCCTCGTTGAATGCCTTTGGTGTTCCAATTTCGGTTCTGATTTGGCGGTTTTCCATGAAGTTTCCAGCATCTGTCTTCGGTGTGCCTTGGCTTCTTGCAGAAGGTACACCATAGAGAATCCTTGTTATCCCCTCTTTCAATCTCCATTTTGGGAGCTCCTCCGGTTTGACCGTTCTTCCATTGGTCAATGTTCTTCTCTCGACTTTGTGCTACTAAGGCTGAACTTTCAGTTGATTGAGGCTCCATCATCACTCCTCTTCGTGATTCTTCTGTTCGAAAGGCAGCCATGGTTTCATTTAGTGAGGGTAACTCTTTTCCGAGTACTTGAATCCTTATTGGATCAAACTCATTGTTCAGACCGGTTAAGAACTTATAGATTCTATCCTTCTCCTTATAATTTTTTAGTAAAGTAGCATCTGCAGTGCATTTTGCTTCAAAATGTTCATAGTGATCCAACTCCAACCATAGATTTTGTAGAGTTTGGGCATACTCACTAATGGACCGATCTCCTTGCTTGGTAGTTGCAATCTTCATCTTAATTTCGTAAATTTGTGCAGCATCACCAACCTTGGAATAGTTTTCTTTACAGCTGTCCCACACCTCTTTGGCAGTCTTCATGAATATGCATGCATCACTAATCTCAGGCACCATGGAATTCCATAGCCATGATATTACAACAGCATCTTCTTCATCCCATGCAGCAAATTTCCCGTCTGTAACTTCTGGAGTATCCTTTCCAGTAAGATGATTCAATTTGCCCTTCCCCTTTAAAAAGGTTTGGACAAAATGAGACCATTTGAGGTAGTTTTTACCATTGAGACGAAGGCTAGGTTGAACATTTTTCAGCTCAACAGAGCCGGTGTT